TAGATTATATGTTTATATTTTTTAAGGTTAGATTAAGTTGGCAATGATATTATTGTTGTTGTCACGTGCGGTGTGCATAATATACTTGGCGGAAAATAAATTATTATCATTTTAGTCACCCAACGTTATGTGGGGCACCGACCACGGTTGCCAACATGACGCGATGCTAATGATAAATGCAATAATGATATAAATATTGATAATATTATTGATCTCGGCTCCTTCGACCTTTGGCCGGGGATTTCTTCCAGTGTACGCGCCGACCTCGACGCCGGCCAAAATGGATAATTTTTATTATACAATATTATTATATTTTTTTCAAATCACATTTGACGCGGGCAATGTATAATAATAACAAACACAACGACGCCCACCGGTTTGGCAGGCGCCGCGCATAGGCAAACACACCGTCGGCCGCGTACGCCTGTGTTGCTTTCCGGATTGCGCTCAAGGGGAAACCGTCCAATGCCGTCCTGTGTGGTGTGTGTCCGCCGCGCCCAGGCTCCACGACCTCGCATAATTGTCAAGTAACTCCCCATTGGCATCTGTCGTTTTTGCCGGAATTTCTTTTCAATGGCAAGTCTTCGACCACTCCAATCAATATACAACAGCACTATAGGTCGGGTTAGGTTTGGTTGGATTCGGTTAGCCCGAATAGATCAGCCGCGTGACGGACACACGTTTTCACACATTTCAATTAGATGTGGACACAGTATTTTTTTTTTTTAAAAAAAAAACATTAACGGTTGTTAAAGCTTACAAAAAACTGGGCAAAAGTATACTTTTTATGAGGACGTCGCACTGCCCATTTTTAAGGAGTAAAGTATAGGCAATTTTTTTAGAAAATCTTAATTTAAAGGTTAAACTGTGATGTGTAGTTATTAGTTCAATAACTAGGACTCTATTTTAATAGTTAATTTATTTTTTGCACTATCACAGCATCCTTAAAAGCGATTTCAAAATGTTTTTTCATCTCAACTTGTTTAAGCAGACTGAAAATAACTCGCTTGATTTTGGATTTAGAGTAAAAGCTATTATTCTAAGTATAGCGCTCAATACATAGTTTAGAAATACCGACTATTTAAACATTTTTGAATGACTAAGTTTTCAAAGTTTTAATTTTTTTTAAAAAACGTACCGTTTTGCCTTCCGGAAGGTTAGGTTTTCTTTTAATTTTTTAATGGGTGCTTTTACTCTTAACTAGTCAAACAAACTTGGTTAGGTTAGGTTAGGTATTAGTTACCTTTTTTGATTCGATTAAACATGGCAACATGACTAAAAGTTATTGGAAAAAAAATTTAATTCATTTAAATGACGTTTATACTCCTAAATTTCTCCTTGACAAAAATAGACAATTTTTTTTCCATTATATTCGTGTGAAAAATAATTAACAAGGGATATGTAGCCTAGGACAAAACTTTTACACAACACGTTGTTCCAAAAAAGGCATAAAAATGTTCAACAAAAATCGAGTAAAAGCTAAGACTAATAATGTACTGTGAGTAAATTAATTTGTTCGGTAATTAGTAATTAGAAATTGCTAGCTTTCTTTCGTGTGTATTATTTGGTTTAATCCGCACCGTTGAACAAGGTGTTTTTAATTTGTTTTAAACGAAAACTAACATGACAGTCGTTTTAAAATAATGTCGCTCTCTATTTTGATTTCATTATAGTCGGTTTTCGTTTTTGGGCAAAACACGAGTATATTAAATAAAACGTTAACTACTTAGTTTGTACGCATTTTCAAAGCATAATATTATGTCGAGTTAGGTTTGGCTGGGCTGGAAATAATTGCTTCAATTAGAGCTTGTCTTTATTCGATTAATAAGCTTTGGGTTAAGTTAACACTAAAACGTACAATACAAAAAACCACCGCGGACGACTAATAAATCAATTTTTGTACAAATATCAATATAAGTCTGTATAATTAATAAACCACACAGATGATTAGTAACAATTAACGATCAAAGCGCGGTTTCTTTAAAAATTCTTCAAACTTCTTCAATATCATATTAATTATATCCGTACACGTTTAGTTCTCAAGTGAAACGCGCGACCGTTAGGATAAAGTACTCAAAATTTAGTATACTATTATAACTGCCATATAATTTTTAATTAATATTTTTTATATCATTATAAGTTATCCGGTAAAACTTTAAATCTAAATTCGATTGTCTTACTCGACGGTGATTGAAAGAAAAAACCATACTGTATAAAAAAAAAAAATCCGTTAAAAGACTTATAAAAATATTTTTTCCTCCGGTTTTTTTTTAATGCCATAAAAACAATTGCATAATAAATTCTTTGGTCGACTGATTTTTTATTCGAGTAAACAAACGGTAAACGGAAGACAACAAAAAAAAAACGGATAATTATGAAATATCGGTAAAAAAGAAAACAACGATTATAAAATAAAAAAAACAGTCGACAACTAAAAAAAAAACTTTATAACCGGAAGAGCAACAAAAAAATATGATTTGTTTTCTCCGTTGGCCTAGATTGGACGAACCAACCGTCTCGCGGTGTAAAATGTCTTATTATCTGTGAACTTCCTCGAAGTTAAGTCGTTAAGTCAAAAAGTTTAAATCGACTCGTGTCAACGAAATGAAATTGATGGGAATAATAATAAAAACGTTCGACTACTTTGTTGTGGTGAAAGTTTGTCTAGCCGGTTTGGAATAACAATTTATTATTTAAATAATTAACCGCCCAACTCTAGTCGGTCGTCGAGTTAATTCCAGTTATGATAAAAGTCAAGCTTAAGTACGATGGGCCGCTCAATATCTCACTAGGTTTAATTAATAATTGAATTATTTATTTCATAGTTTTATTACATAATCTGCTATCTAAATTTTCTACAAATTATAATGTTCCTACCCCCCTCCCAAACTAATTATAATTTTTATATCAACTTTTGAAACTTAAATGGTAACGTGTATATTATTTTTTAAACATTTTTAAATTAAGAATTATTTCACTAAACACGTTGACTGGTTAATAACCAGTTTTGGATAGTTATTTATAAAGTTATAAGAGTTTAAAAGTTAAGGCGGGAGGGGAAGTGCGATTGGGAATACTACACTCTTGCCTTTCCTCCTGCACTAAACTTGAAACTTCAAAAAACAGTTATCCTAAACTGGTTATCGACTAGTCGAAATATTCAGTAGAATATTCTTAATTTAAACAGTTTAAAATATATATATATATATGTTTCAAAAGTTGTTATCGAAAGAACTAGTTTAGGAGAAATGTAGAAACATAATAATTTGTGGAAATTTGAGATAACATTATATAAGATCACTACAAAAAAGCCATTGAGTGGCTCATGATAAAAAATTCAACCTGTATGATTTTTCTGAACATTTTTATATTCGGACAAGTTATACCTATTCCCCAGGACATTTTTTCTTTGTATATTTTTACCAAGACTCACTTGTACTCTTTGGGTTCTCGCCATTTCAATTCCACAAAGAAATAAGTACAAAATACACCACAAAAATCGGTAGTCCGTAACACGGTATCACCTAACCTAGCCTAACCAAACATAACCAAACCTAACCAACCCTAACCAAACCTAACCTAACCTAACCAAGGGGGTTGTTTTTTTACCTGTTCCCAATTGGCTCTGGCGTTGTCGTCGTCCTCGTCGTCCTCGTTGAACTTGTAGTCGCCGTACATGGACGGCCAAGCCCTCAGGGACAGTGTCCTGTTAAACTGTTGGGCCATGGTACGACTCGGGTGTGTATACAGATAATAATATTGTGCACTAAGTAAGTATGCACGCTTTATACGATTTTAAGTGACGAGCAACCGACCGACCGACCGAGGCTAAAATGCTCAGTTCTTGCGCGGCTATCGATTGTAGACGATTAAGTGGAATAGGATGTGTAGAGTGTGTAATATTATTGTTATTATTATTATTATAAAATTGTAATTGATGATAGTCTACGCTGCTGCGGGTAACGAGGTCGCCTATGACAATAAGCGCCTTTCTTGTCCGCGGATAAGAATAATAACAACTGGAGCTGCTAGTGTTATCATAATAGATTATTCGTATTGTAATAATGGTACGGCGGGGTAGCGGGGAAACGAGTTGGCGCTTTTCAAACGCCAAAGGGTGTTTTTTTTTTTTTGTACCGCCGACATTTGATTGTTCTGGTTAATCCGTTGTGGGTCAAAAGCTCGTGTGTTGACGGGTAACCGATTCAAATCATTTTTGCCCTTGCAAATCAAAACCAGAGTAGCTTAGTCGCCACAAACTGTCATGACAATATGCAATGAGTTAGGTTAAATAAAAGAAGGGTAATGTGTGTATGTGTATCAATGCGAGGGTAAAGTGTGTGGTCAATGTCACAAAGGTCCGGTGTAATTTTATTTTTCTGTACACTATATTTATAAATAATGACAACGACCCGGGTGGAAAAAAGGCCACCTATAGTTTTAAGCGAATGCAAAATGCGCGAATAGGCTGCTACAGCGATGATGATTTGAGTCATTTTCCGTAGCTGGCCTAAATGAACCGGATACGTTATCGTTTCACCCTCGAAATAATGTCGCCAACTCAACTCCTCCAACCAAATTTACGGTTCAATCAAGAGGTGGTGTCAATCCCAGACTCATCTTTGCCCTTTGTGCACCACTTCACCTTATCTCATTCGTCTCGAAATTCTCTTATACTCAACGCCCAATAGTCACTATGGCTGGTCACAAACGAACATGAACACCAGTCCGAAAACACATCCGCGATTCATTTGTTTTTCCGCGAAATGGACAAAATGACAACTGCTCTTTTAAACATTCTTTTCACACTATTCCACACTCCCAACATGCCAATCCCCTCTTGTACAAACCATCCGAATCTATTGATTGAAACGGTTCTGACTCCTGTTTCTAACGCGACTGCCAGACTACATCATGAGTAATACAAGGGAGGGGCGGGTGCTTACGGGTAATGCCTTTTTTGCACCCGAGTGCTCGTGTCTGAATGGGGTTTTGCTTACCTGTGGCACGTATGTGTCCTGCGACGTCCTGATTTTGGCTGCCGCCTTAAGGTCTTGGAACATCATGTCGTCGTCGAACTCGTCCTCGTCGTCGTCGTCGTCGCTGCTAAGACGCTTGGCCGACACCTGGTCGATGGCCTGCTTCTTCTTGCGCATCTGGTCGATGAAGTTCGGCACCGTGGGCGTGGCCAGCAGCAGGTTCAGTTCTTTTTGGCTGTGGTGGCCGACGTCCCGGCCGTGCTTGCCGTTGACGTAGCCGCCGTTCGCCGACGGCGTGTGGTTGTGATGGTGGTGGCCCTGGCCCCTGAGGAACGCGTACTTCTTCTTCTTCACTTTGGCCGCGTGGCTGTGGATGAGCGCCGCGGTGGAGCCCACCGTCGTGTCCACCGACGCGGTGGACGACATGGTGGACGCGAACACGGACTGCTGCGGCTTGGTCCTGTGGTGTACGCTGTGGATGCGGGCGCCTTCACCGTACAGCTCGGTGACTTGGTCCTCTGTGATAGGCATATCCTGCGAACAACAAAAAAACCAGCGATCAGTAACTACAATACAATTGGATCACGAGCAAATATGTCTTATGATAAGTGGATTCTTTTAACGGTTATCTAGGAATTGCCGATTTCCCCTTATCGCCATCCCATTCCCGCCTCATTCGCACTTGTCACTATCGCATCGTCTCCCCTCACATTTGTTTCACAAAACATGCATCATGCAATTCAAAGTGTCAAGCCAATTTTTGACAAACATAAATCATGATCATGTCGTAAAACGCGCCATGCAAACACTATATCTATTATTGGCTGACTGCTGGTCACGTGAATTTCCCTGAATATTCATATGATTGACTTCTATTCGTATGCTTTTTAACAAGCCAGTTTAGATTTTCAAAGAGGAGAAGGAGAACTGTTACATAAAGCTCAAGTCACGGAAGAGCCATTCGTTAGTACCCGAACCACTGTCTCTAATGCCGATAGGTGCCATCGCACAAACGACTTTTGCACACTTGGGTGTCATCGTTGCGGCAATAGGACAATACCCGACGATCGTGACCGAAGATAAACAAGCAATGCGAAACGTCTAGTCAGTCAATATTAAAGTAATAGTTTAATAGCAGGATGAACTAACGCAAGCCGTCTGACTAGTCAGATTTTTTGTGCCGGATTATAATATGGGTCTCTGTGTGCGTCACGACCGCCGACAGCGGTTTTCAAGTATAGGATCATCCGTTTCTAATTTGTTGCTATATATTATGACCGCAAAACTACAATGATGTTAGGGCACAGCACGCCATTTTTTTTTTAATGGGCAGTGTGTAGAAAATTGTCTCGACTTAAAGCAATAACCTAATAGCAGCCGCAGCAATCCTAGTGATTCAACAAGAACACAGCGTGTACGCAGAGGTTCAACGGTCGTTTTACAGATTTCCTGACCCGGGAATCGTTTTCAAGAGCACAGAAAGTTACATTTTTATTTCCCTTTTCTCGCGGGAAAGTACAACCCTCGAGTGTTTGCGAGAAGAGGAGAACAAACTATGAAATTACACATTTCACACATATGGAAAAATACATTTCAGACCATCTCAAAAAGCTGTTTCCGAAAATGTGCAAAAAGTTTTCACCAAGTTGTTTGACGCGATAATTTACAAGAGACGTTTGCATCACTTATCATTCTACTACAAATGTTCCCAAACGCTAAACGGCACACGCTTACGGATAATTTTCTACAACTTGAACGTTTATTTTTGTAGAACGAGTTTTTTTGTTTTGTACCGAGTACAGTATGTAGATAAGCAATATATTCTAAGTAAGTGTTAATGACTTTGGAACAACATTATTTATTGTCTTTTATTTCGTGATAACATTTTAAGATATACAAACAAAAACCCAAATCATAACCTTCGATTAACGAAAAAGCACAAACTGAAAATTTCAACTAACATTACCTACAGAGAATTAATGAAAATGAAATCCTGTTTTATCAATAACTTGATTTCCAAAATATTACGTTTTTGCTGTACTCTTAAAAAACTATAAAAAAAAAATTAAAAAATAATGAATAAATAAATGAAACGCTTATGTCTAGAAGTACTATTGTGTCGTAATCAGCTGTATTAGAGCGAGTCACGACCGTAATGATATTGCATTGATCACTAACTGATAATTTTATAATAATACACAATTAAACATGCCTACGAATGACACTGGTTGTTGTTTCAGACGCGACCACAAACCGATTTGTAGTAATAAAATTAATTACAATAAAAAAAAACCGATTTACCAATTTAATTTTCCCGAGTGATATTTTGAAGGAAAAAATACATAAATTCGACCTGTTTAGGAAAATTGTAAAACCCGAATTGCTCAAAAATTGTATACTTAAGCCTGTGAACAATGTACACGCCAGGACGTTGAATGCCGCAACCTACTTAATTTTGTTTCTTATAAACAACAGACCGTCGTGGTGCTTTTAACGTTGTATGAAATATTTAATGCGCCATTAAATATACATATTATATAAAATTACTTTATCGTTGTCATCGCTGTATGTGCAGAGTGACTACATACATATATATATATATATATATGTATAATGTATAATAGTATGTCGATTGGTCGTGATAAACGAAGGCGGCGTTGACTAAATTATTGCTCGTCGACAGACAAACAACAAAACTCGTGGCGCTCACTAAAATATTGAAGTAAAATTTTATAATAATAATCATTATAATGTTATTATGCAAAACCGTTTGCGTTGTCGTCCGCAACAGCTCCGACCGCGAACGAATAGCCATAGTAGAAAACCGCCCATTCTGATCGTCCAAGTAGTACAAAACAAGTAGCATTTAATTATTGTAAGACAGCAAAGACGAGGATAGACGTTAGTTTTGCTAAATCGGGGCAAATCGAAATCGCATTGACCGAGCAATGTGGATCAACGGCCAAACTAACGGCTGTTGTCCCTTGTTCGAAATTCGTTATATGAAAAAAAATAGTTTTCTACCAGATTAGTATTCACTTAAACTACCGTCTCTTCGACTGACATTTGTCGGAAATGAGGATTGCGCAACGGAAAGATACTCTAAGACACTATTAGATTCCCAAACTTTGATGGATCCGATTACGCTCCCATCTGCTGGGGGACCGACCCTATTTTTGTGTACTATGCATAGGATGCAATGTGGTACTTGCAAACGCATCAATAGTAATTTATTGTAATCGTTTGTATCTACTTTCAAAGTGGGCTTTTTTTCTGCCGAGCTGTGGTTAACAGAACAGTAGAAAGCCAAAACAGAAGAAACCGGGACAGTTTGAGCCCATAGCAACCGAACGTATATTGGATAGGTCACAAGTTAGCAAAATTCGATGTACTGAATCGAACAAACCAAACGGAATTAGTCGGTTAGGTAAGACCTCTAAGCCCCGGACGGCTCTTTCGTCTTGGGTTTTAACAAAAAAATATACTATGAATAAACAAAAAACTACACACAAACAAGCAGGCTATATCGAACATGATAATAATACTATGTATGTAAGTATGTAGATTTTGTTTTGTCACTGGTATTTCCCCCCACCCCTCTGTCGTTTTGTAAGCTAAGACCGCTTGTTTTCGAATGTTGGCGGTCGGTTATCGTGATATTTTTCACATTGTTATCATTTAATAACACGTCGTTAATCGTACATCGCTAATCAGTAAATCGTTTTTTACTTAAGCACATGACTAAGCGCTCCAACGATGCGCGTTGTTAACGTTATTTGTTTCACGAAAATAATAACAACAATAATCATACTATAATATTATATTATGCTCGACAGGGGACGCCCTGTGGTATGAATATCAGCTCTCGATCAAAAAAAACGAAGGCTGACGTTGTCGGGTAATTTTTACTTTTAAAAGTATACGTTTACACATATACTTGGAACACTCACCCGGTAGGTTTGCAAAAATATAAATAATAATAATATACCTTGCGCGCGCGCGCACCTCCTAACCCGGCAACGGCACGTTAGGTTTTTTTTTCTGATTTTTCTTATTTAATCCGACAACAAGTCATTAGATTATACTACTGCGATAATTTTCTCTGTCCCGCTTTTTGCTGTCACTGTCGTTTTGTGTGTATTGTGCGCTTCAACGGTTCGAACAGACCTCGCGACCAGTCATGATCGACACGATAGTCTGGCTTGCGATTCGGATGCGTTTTTTTTCCCTATAACCGCACCACCACTCGATCAGATAACTCAATAACGACTACAACATATTAGGGAGATGCACGATATCTATGTGTGTATGTGACGACCCAATACAATATTTTTTTACTCGCGCCTATTGTTTCGAAAAACAAACAGCGGACGACACGCGCGCGACAGGATAAAAACATTATTATAGGTCGTGCTTTTTGGTAAAAAAAAAACGACTTGGAGACTGCCAATATATATATATATATAACATGTATGACTATGTATGCTAAGAAAAAGGCGTGTGCTAATAATTGAAATGTGTAGAAAAAGACGAGTGCGCGCATAAATTACACGAGCGGAAAAGTATATTATATACATTCACATATATAGGTCTATTATCTTTACCTATGAGTAATCTGCTGGGACATATATGGCATTGTGTTCAAGTCGAATGTATATTATCTTTTGGGAATTATAGTAGGATAAACACGTTAGTTAGTTGAATGACAGCGACGAGTACACGAGCAAAGATAAAAATCGGCACAGAAGATGACGGGAACAGAAGAAACCAGGACAGTATCATCCCACAACAGAAGAAACCACGACACTAGAAACTAGGACAGTAGTATCAGTCCAGAGCAGAAGAAACCGGGAAGAGTATCAACCCAGAACAGAAAAAACCGGGATAGTTTAAGGCCAATGCAAAAAGTTGAGCAACCCAAATATGCTTTACACCGAACATTGTCTTAGAAAATGAAAGAAAATTTCCAACTCAACCTGACGTTTTGAGAAAAACTTTCGTTGAATTCGAGCCATACGAATAAAACTGAAGGCGATCAGTCAGTCCACAGAAGAGACAGATTATGGGAAATCCAAAAGTTATTTCAGAACAATTGAAATCGGATAAAACGGTAACGGTTACAGTATTTACACGAGATAAGGAGGCAGGCTCGACCGGGATTCCGCTAGCAGTCTCACGTAATAGTATTATTTAATTACTGCGAATTGGAATAATAAAAAATTTTAAAAATCTACGAGGCTTGCAGAGCCAGGACTCTGATAAGAAATTCACGTGGGAAACAAACCGCTTATCGCGGGCAAACGCGCCGACCATCTTTTCAGTTTACCAGCGCGGTCGTGTTCCAAATTCCAGGGGGGCCAACCTAAATATGTTTAAAGTTACAACGACCTGAAGTTCGAAATTCTTATAATTTTATTTTATTACTTTTACACGCGGTATACAACGACGTTTGCGGTCAAGAATAAATGCTTTTAAGGATCTTTTTGGCTTTTTTATGACCGTTTGCGCCGTCTGCGCTTAAAATGTAAGGGTAG